GAGCCCCTAGTAGCGTCCTTGCTTCTATTAGTAAGGCCAGGAGCCCCTAGTAGCGTCCTTGCTTCTATTAGTAAGGCCAGGAGCCCCCAGAAGTGTCCTTGCTCCTTGTAGCGATGCCCTTTGCTCCTAGTAGTTTTGTTTGTTCGTTTTTTTCTTTTTGCGCGTGCGTTTCGGCAAGTGCGCACTTTGTCGCCAGGTTTTCGCAAGTGTTGTTCTTGTTCAGGCAGGCCGTATTGCATTTCAAGTTCTCAGCTATTACTTCCTGCATGAGGGTGCAACGGAGCCCTTTTCTTCCGCCTAGCTGGCGGCTGGCGCCATTAAACAGCTAAGCGGGCATAATCAAGACATGTCAGCCCGACTCCCTAGCGCAAGCCAACAAATCATTTGCCATCAGTTGAGGCACTAAGTGAAAGATGTAAAAGGCGAGGTGCCTCAATGGGCACAGTGTTGGACACAGTGCTGTCAGAAGTGTTTGAGAGTACTGAAATCGGGACAACGCCTGTACGCACTCCTTCGCAACCGGATGCAAGCTGCGCCGTGCTGCGACGCTGTGGAAAACCCATAAACAAGGTAACACGCCCCCACAAAGGCGTGTGTGTGGGACACGTTTTGTTTAAACACAATTTGTTTTTGTTGCTATTTGAGGCCAAGGACGACGAAACGTTGTTTCCATGAGTTTCAAGAGAGAAAACCACTTACTTTTTCCGAAACATGTGCGCGTGATGATCACAAGCGTGGTGTTTGCATGTGGTATCATCTTCCAAGCACATCCAATCGAACGTAATTGCCCCACCCCTATTTTCCAATCGAACGTATTGGCCATCGCATGGGGCTTAGCATTTTTCAAACTGCAACGGTTTCAGGTCAACGCACCCGATTTGTGGAAACGACAGCGTCTCCACAAACTACGGCTGAAAATCGTGGGTTTGTGTGGCACACATTGTGCCGCGCTGCTTTATATTTGGTCCGTTTGCTATCGGGCCATTCTTGCTCAGGTCACCAGCCCATCCATTGGGCCCAAAATTTTACGGGAAGGCTTTCGATCAGGTGACTTGGAGATGTTTCGATTGGTGTCGGAACACACTGACATGTTGCGAAATGGTTCACGCAAGCTGTTTTTGCGACTAGCAATGCAGTCAGGTCATGCTGGTTGGTGTGGAGGGGCAATCTATTTCGGCAACACTGCGCAGGAAGATGCTGTGGCCAAGAACCATGCAAAAAGACACGCATCAAGGGGTAGTTGCTTGGTTTGTACATCATCATTTGGTGCCGCTGTCTCTGCAGGAAACCAAATGGAAAGCTGTCCCTGACTCAAAAGAGGGCGGAAATCAATCCCAGCTTTTAACGCGGAAATGCGAAGTGGCGGGTCGTTCCGAGTCGTGCGTTGCCAAGGTCGGCCAAGAGTCGCACCAAGGATTTTTGATCGAAGCAATGGTAGACCCAGGGCATGTAAAGAAAATGCCTTGGAATTGATGCTTGGAATGACCTGTCGAAAGCTTTGTTGCATAATTGGAATAGGTGTTTTTGTGATATTGAAGACTAAGCTTTTTGCTAATAGTAATGCCCTTGTTACTAGCTTCTAGCTAGTAGCGATGGACTTGTTTCTAGTAGCGTGGCACTTGTTACTAGTAGCGATGCACTTGTTACTACTAGCGAAGAGAAACGAGAATCCGAGGTTACACCAGCACCCGGTGCATCGAAACACATCCGGGTTTGCAGGGCCACGTCAGCTGCCTGTCGCGACACTACTATGGCAACTCCCTTCACTCGGAGGTCCAAGTGAGACGAAGCATTGAACATAAACAAGCGATTTTGTTAATTTAAACTTGGAATTCTTGTTTCTAGCGATGCACTTGTTACTACTAGTAAGGCACTTGTTTCCAATAGCTTGAAACCGTAAATAGCTATTGTGAAGGGCATGCTTGGCACCCCGAAGGCCTTGAGGAAACTTCTTATTGAATAGTTTGAATACAATTTCTTGTATTTAATATGAATGATTTAAAGTTTGATATTAAGATTAATAAGTTTGAATAATGTATTTAACGCAGCAAAAAGACCCCGAGGAGTGCTGACCTCACGAAATGCTACACAACGCTAACGTGCAACGCGTGTTTTCCAAAGAAACACGCGTCCAGAAATCCGCCCACACCGAAGGTGCTCGGGCGTGTGTATCCGGATGGCATAGTTAATCGCAAGGTTTCAGCTTTAGCGATCCGGGGGCCTTTATCAGCCAAGAAACCTGAGCTTTTGAAGGCTGTTGAACAATCGATCGCAAAAAACATCGTCAATATCAGCATTTGATGAAGGTTTTGGGACACGCACATGTTTGATGCGTTTTTGAAATAATGAAAAACACATTGTTTTTCAACATAAGATTTGGCCAACAAGGACCAGGTAGAACCGGCATTAACAAAAACCAGCGGTTTCATGGTACAGCTCCAACTGGCTAGGGGGTCGTATTAGCCAGGTAGAGCAGGGATGAGGGAAATCTATGTATTTTGTTATAGCACTCACAACACCTTTCTGAAAAACAGTTTGAATCAACAATTACAATATAGTAATACATCTAACTTGGGTAACCCTTGGTATGCTTAGGCACTGTATAGCCGAAAATAGCCTTAGCTACTTCGGGTATGCTTACGCAGTTGGCCCGCTAGGGTGTTGCAGGGTGCGTCGCAAGGAAGTTGGAGATGTTTGACTGTAATTAGGCTTGCTGAATGGGATCTGTTGGTTCCGAGATTGCACTTCGCCAGGGTCAGGCAGCATAAAAACGCATCAATGCCAGGTCACATGTGTGTATTCTCACTTGCTGGAGCCGATGTTTTGCAGGGGCTAAACGCGCAAAATGTTTGCGTGATACAGGGGTCACTGGTGTCAAAAGCGGCTCGCTGAAGTGATTGTGTTGCTTCTATATAGATTGATGCTTCACTAGGGTCAGGCGGCGCAAACATACACAATTGCTAGCTCAAAGGGGCGATCTGTTGATTGCCACGGGTGGGATAAATGAATCAAAAAAATCTTTTGCGCGCGCGGGGCAACCAAGCCTTTTATCGCATCAGCAGTTTTGATTATGTGAAGTCAAGCTTGTTGAGTGGGGTTCGTGGGTTCCAAGATGCACTGCCTTCTTAATTTGTTGCTGTAAACCATTGATGTCGTGCTGACATTCCGTGTGGTTGAAACGATGTGTTGGTCGGAAAACAGCATTGTGCCTGGGCTGACGCTGACAGGATGCATTTTGCTCCTAAGGGAAGTAGCATGTGAAGTCATGGTTGGAACAAAGCAGAAATAGGTCGGGAATAGGTCGGAATAGGTCGGGAACCCTACTACATTGGTCCTAAGCATACCCTGATGATGTTAATTGTCATTAGCTCTGGCCAGTATGCTTATATCCCGCTGTAGTTGGGTTCCCGATCTATTTCCGACCTATTCCCGACCTATTCCTGCCTGTTCCAACCATGACTTCACAGGATCTTAGGGCCCCGACCTATTCCGACCTATTTCCGACCCATTCCCGACCTAATCCTGCTGTGTTCCAAGCATGACTTCACAGGGTCTTTCTTCGGGCCCCGACCTATTCCGACCTATTTCCGACCTATCCCCGACCTATTCCGGCTTTGTTCCAACCATGACTTCGCAGGGTCTTTCTTGGGGCCCCGACCTATTTCCGACCCATTCCCGACCTATCAATTCCTGCTTTGTTTCAACAATGTTCCTGACTCATTTCGCTTTGTTCTAACCATGACTTCACAGGGTCTTTCTTGAGTCCCAGGCCTATTCCCTACCACCTATTCAGTTTGGCGCAGTTTTGGTCATTTCTTGATTTCAGTTGTTTTTTCAGGCCTGTGCTGTTGACAAGGTGGCCACAGCCCATGATTCGGATCAAAAAAGGGAATTGTAAACAATTTTGCGTGGCTAAACCCCGCTTATGAGCCTTTCGACAGGTCATTGAAACCCATCTTGGGTTGATTTTCATGGCTGTTTAGCCCACCTTCTGATCTGCTGGATGCCCGCGACTACCCTGACTAAACCCCTACCTCTAAACACCTGTTAAGCCCGTATGCCTAAGCATACCAAGGGCTACCCAACATCTAACAATATAGTACAAAAGCCATGTGATGATATGGTATCATCATGTTTGATCAATTTTCCGGACCCGCGCTCGCAGGGCTACGATTCTATCGTTTTCAATCCGGGCGATGGAAACGAAGTTGTCATTTGGGACAAGCACAGGGTGAAATCAATGCGTCGCTCAGCACGCACTCAGCACGCATTGACTTTCAGGTTTTACGTTCTGTAAACTGTACCCTGCACCAGTTCTGTAAAATGCATTTCCCGTTAGTTACTTGTTTGGGTGCACTGGAGAAATAGCGCATGGCAAAGCCGCAAAGCATGCTGATTTTCCGGTTCGGGACACAGTCATGGCCCTGCCCAGGCCACATCCGAATGCCGTGACACGGGCTACCGCCTAGGACTTGCCAACTTGCTGAACTGCGTTCATAGCAAAAGTGATTGCTAGGAGCGGGGCATAGGCATGGGTAGGCTGCCAAGAGGTGGTAACCAAGAGCTAAGAGGTCGCCCATTAGTGTGTGGACCCACTACTAGCTACTTTAAGCAGGAAAGCAACAGATTTTCAGGGAAACTTGAGTTTTACTGTTTGGCACAGACTTGAGCAATGGTTGTTGTGAAAATTTGGCCGTACTGTTGGAAAGCAACATACGTAGCTCATCGCAGCTCAAGGTTTTGTGATGCGGTTTTGCGTCCTTCTCACACATCCACAAGCACAGTCAACATCACCCACAGCCTATTGAGCAGGGTAACCTTCCACACACCATCGTTCATGGCGTGCTTTTTGGCACTCGGAGGACCAAAACCAGCAGATTTGACGATAATCAGTTGTGTTGCCAGAATTGGATGCAGACTTCAGGATGTGAGGCATGGGCTGGCAAGGTGTGGAAGGTTTTTACCGCGCCTCATCCGTTTGCCTGTGAAACCGCCAACTCGGTCTCAGGCGGAGTGGCTGCATCATTGCTGGGGTCCTTTAGTGGCACGTCACTCGGCAAAAGAGCTAAAGCTCCGTTCGTCGCGTTCCTCCTGTTCCTCTTCTTGTATAGAAAGAATCTTACTATCTATAGCGCTAGGAGCCCCTAGTAGCGATGCCCTTTGCTAGCGGCGTCCGGTACTCGGCTTGGTTCCGTTCGTAAGTACAAGCAGGCTTGGAGGGCAGCTTCGCATTCGCTCCCTCACGGAGGACGTGAACTTCGACTGGGCTAATAGCTTCTTGTTACTACTAGTAAGGCACTTGTTACTACTAGCGTGGCACTTGTTTCTAATAGCTTCTTGTTACTACTAGTAAGGCACTTGTTACTACTAGCGTGGCACTTGTTTCTAATAGCTTCTCGTTACTACTAGTAAGGCACTTGTTGCTACTAGCGTGGCACTTGTTTCTAATAGCTTCTTGTTACTACTAGTA